CACACACACACACACACACACACACACACACACACACACAGAGTCTCTCCCTCCCTTGTTGTTCTCTCTGTCTCCCTTATTGCAGGTACACCCCCCCGACACACACACACTCTCCTGGCCCTGGGGTACCCACACAGGCTGTGCCCCCGTGGCCCGGTGATGCAGCTGGGGCCACATGGTGCTGGAGGTGGTCATGTGCAGGGAAGCAGCACAAGCCATGGCAGGCAGACATTTCTAGGTGGGAGGCAGGGGTAGGAGAGGGCTGGGTATGGTGTGGAGCCAGGCTGTCTTTGTTAGTGAGTGCTGCTGGCTTCCCCTGGGTCATCCCATCATCTTTGACAGGAGCTAAGAGCAGATAAATATATATTCTCTAAATGTTTTATGTGCCCCACGGGCCGGATAGAATGGCCTGGTGGGCCAGATGCAGCTGGGCTGTATTTTGCCTGCCCCTGATCTATATACTATGTCCTGTATTTACTGATCAGATATAATCAGGTACTAGACACTACAAGAGGAGGAGATACAACTGGTGTGTACTTCTAAACCACCTTGTCAAAATTGCTGTTTGAAGGCTGGTACTGAGAGCTATGAGAACATGTGGTAAAAAAATCCTGCTCCAGTATTTCCCCCGAGTCATTTGCCAATAAGTAGTTTAGAATATGGCATATACTGCCTCTGGAACTCCAGCTCTTGGTATTTCAGAGAACTTGTCTGGAAGTAGAAGGCTGTGTTAGAAGATCACTTGGGTTGAAGAACAGGCTGCGTTAATTCCAAGGACTGTGCTGTAGCCTTTGTGGCTTGGAGCCTCTCTGCAACCCCATCAGTTTTGTCACTGAACGGACATCCCTTGCAAAACGGAAGTTCTAGGTTTTTCCTATAATTCAGAAACAGATCTCCTTATCACTTTTCCAGAAACCACCACTCTCATATTATAGTATTGACAATACCAAACGTTTCTCTTAGGAAAATAGGATTCTTGGTGATCAGGGTTCTGGCTGTTTCATTCCATTCCTTAGGCATCGTATCTAGAATAGGACTTAAGACATCCCACAAAGGGCACAACTGTAAGTGAAACATCATAGCTCAGTATTTGATCACTTGAAAGCCTAGAATGCTTCTCTTTCAAAAGAAGAGAGCGATGTCTTGCTACTGCCAGTTCACTCTGGAGTGAAAAATACTTTGGAATTTGTAAATGGGTGCTGTAGGAAAAACAGATATCCTTGAACTCATGGAGAATTCATCCTGTCAGTTTCTTGGAACACATGTGGGGATGAGCATGGAGAGCTAGATATGCCTGCCCAGGTTGAGAGGACTACAGCTGTAAGTAAAGCCAGCTTCCTTCTGTCTATATGCATCTTGTACTCAAGAGTAGATGAGATATCCACAGGGCAGTAGCCTCCATATGCAATATGCATATTTACCATCCTCTTCAATAGTTCTTGAAATGGTCTCTGATCATCAGGACGGGAAATAGAAGAGCCATCAATTTGTGGCTGTTATGGTTCTTTCAATAAAGATGTCAATCTGAGGGGACCAATACCAGTCAGTATCAGTACTGGAAATGAAGACAACTTTAGAACTAAGTGCCACCTTGCAAATATGGATGCAAAGAATAGACCCAAAGTTGGAAGGAGTATTTGTGTCATCATTGAGGTTTGTGCAGGAACTGGTCTTGCAGCCTTCAAGTGGGCTTTCAGGAACTCCTCAGATTGGGCTACCCAAGGAGCTAAAAAGAGCCCTGCAGGAAACTTTCACAATATCTGTATCCGAGGGAGAAGGTAAAGTAAGGGCAGCATAAGAAAAGGGATTCAGGAGACTGATTTAGACTCACATTAGGTAGTGATGCTGCAGCTGGAACAGCTAAATGCATCTTGGGTCCTGTGTCAGAAAAACTTATTATAGTTTAGTAGCATCAGCTCTAGGGATTAAGAAACCAGATCAGTCTAGAGCTACAATTAGCTTCTTCTAGTGTGGGGACCACAGTACAAGTTTCCCAGACCAAGATGTTCATATCTGGTGATTTCTATTTCTGGCATAACCAATGAAAAGTGCATTATTTTAAGTCCTTACAAGTTTGAGGCCTGACATGGTCCTAGTGAGAGAATAAAACATTCTCAGGACACGAGCAAGCTATATACACTAAACTAACCTACATCATCCTACCCAAACTGAACTAGAGAAAACAATTTTGAAATTCCTTAGGTTGATGCTAGGAATGTTCATAGTCTATAACTGATAATAATAGTTGGAATACAGTAATGTCCTGGGAGAATAAAAACAGTTTCATCTGTATACCTAGCCCATAGGAAACTCTCAGATTCAAATACAGAACTGCACAATTTATTTTTTTAGTTGCTTCTTAGGTTATACCTACACTTACTGTTACAAAACAAAGTTAACTGCTTTTTGAAGTATCTGGGGATCCTGCACACATAAGTGGCTTGTTATAGCTGTAATTTGCATATGTGTTCCAACACTGCAGCATCCAAGAACCATGCAGGCATTTAAAATTTACACAACAGTGCCTTTATTAGTCTGCTTTTTGCCTCTATTTGCAGCTTTTCCCTACCACTCATATTTCTCTTTTGGCTTTTGATATTGATGGAGTGAAGTGGTCTCATATTATTGCAGAAAAGACTTTCAAAGATGCAAATCTTATGAGTCTTTTCTCTGACATATTACCAGATTCTCTTTCATTAAGATCTCGTCTAAAGATAAATACCACAGCTCTGTGCCTTCAACAAAGAAAACCTTAAAATAGAGGTACTCAACCTTCTTTCCTGCAGGCCAGATCCAGCTGGTGGTCCTAATCTAGTGACCCGGGCAGGTGCCGCAGGCACTATCTGGCTACACAGAGGAGGCTGGGAGCCAGTTAGCCTCAATATGGTCTGGCAAGGGAAAGGAACTTGACCTGGCCCCACAGAAGGGGGCATGGCCTGGCCCCAACCCAGCCCCACTGTGGAGAAAGGGGGTGTGGCCAGGCCTCAATCCAGAAGAGGGGGAAGAGAGCATGGCCAGGTTCTGACTAGCCGTGCGGGTCTTAGATTTTGGTCATTTGGCAAAGGGGAGGGTGGCTGTACTAGTGGCCACCGCTCCCCTGCTGCCAAATTTCTGGACCCATGGGGAGCTCTGCAGGCCAGATAAGATTGCTCCAGGACCTGCAACTGGCCAACAGATTGCTGCATTCTCATCTTAGAAGAGAAAGTTTGCAAGCAAGATGATAGTAAACAGCGAGATTCCTTCTGTTACAAGTAACTCCAGTATAGATTAAACTGAAGTTATCTGCTCTGCACCAGGTGCTAATTCTTTGAAATCAACAATGCATTTTGTTAATGTTTCACCTGCCAAGGTGAAATATATAGAGTCCTGCATCATCAGCATAACACTGGCATGGAATACCTAGTAATTTCGTCAACAGGTCTTAGAGAAAGCCGTTGAAGAGAGGGGCTATAATACTTGTGCTTACAGAGTTCTCCATGCGCAATTTCTTGGGTTTATATTTTGCTGTTCTGTAAAAGTTACAATCCTCTCTGATAGCCAAAACATTTCCAAAACCACCAGATGTGTCATAAAGAGGCTTCTCACTTCAGGGTAAATAAGCAGGAACACCCTCAGCTTTAATGTTAAGTCCTTGTCTTCTACAGAAAAAGAGCCATTGCTTAACAGAAAAAAACCCCTAGTATTAACAAACCAAAACTACAGCTGGACTAAGTCACTACAGCTGCATTCTGGCCTAACACAGTCATATGAATGTAGTCAAGGTTTTTAAATCACACAAGTAATGTTCTTTCCAATACTAGTTTAAGAGTTAATTTAACATAACATTAAGGTTGCTTATTTGGTATTCTAAATTACTGATTTAAAAATACAAATAAATTAAATCAAGTGTTCTCATTTTAATTTAGGAATTAAAACACAAACATAAACCAGAGATGTATACATGCACACGCACGCGCACACACACACAAACTGTTTAATGACACACATTAATGAGGACCAGTTGAAGACAACAAAATATCAAAAAGTACAAAACTTCCAGCAAGTTTATTACTTTGCTATGTTTTACATATACATTATTTTCTGTTTCACTGTTTCCTCTTAAATGAGTATCTAATTTTTGTTTTATTACAGTTTTATTGGAAAACATAAAAATGGGTGCTTTGGCGTACTACTGAGATTTCATATTTTGCATATCCTAGGTTTGTATGTATGTGCACGTAATTGCAACTTCAACAAACTTAGTTTACTGATAAATATAAAGCAGTTATTCCAAACTGGACATTTGGCATGATTTTATAATTTGTTTCAAATTCAGCTACAGAAAAACAAAAGTCATTCTAGAATGCCTAAAACATACCTCTGAATTAGTATTGTTTCCATTGATGAGAACTCTTTCAATAACTGCTTTCATCAAAGTGTCATCTACAGTGAAACAAAATTCACTTCATGAGCACATTCGGTATCAGATTGATCAATATCCAAACAGATCAAACATTCAAACAGATCAGAAAAAAAATAAGCACTGGCCTTTATTTTAAACTTACTATTCAAATATTTGAGAAAATCTTATTTAGTTTTTTTTTAAAAACAGCATTTTCAGAAACTTATTTTTTAATCAGAGCAAATTAAAATACATACCAATTAATGGATTTTTTCTTATATCCAGTACCACTAATGTTGTGTTGGCCTGAAGAGCATCTAACAACGATTTTGCCCCCTCACTGGAAATTCCACACTGCTGCAAGTCAAGTGCTAAAATGTTTAGGGTTAAAAATTAGATGCAGTTTACAGTCCATAATTAATCCACCCACATGCCTACATTTCAAAGATAGAGCTTTGTATGCCACCAAACAAATCAACAAATTAAAAACAGTACTCTGCTAAGGAATGGTGATTAACATTTTGAGTCAGAATCAAATATCAGAGTTACTTATATGAAGTTGTTAGAGAATCATAAAATAATACTTAATCATTTCTGAACAGATTGTTCTTGAAATGTTTTTAAAGCTGTAATGCCTAGAATACATTTCTGTTTTGGTTCTTTTTTCCATCCTGTTGCAGGCCATTGCAAACTACTGCCATGATCACACATATCAAGCCTGGACGGTCCAGAAAGCAAACCATGCATGAGCTTTAGACATAGCTAATGCACTACCTCTATTTTGAGTTCAACTTTATTTCTCCAAGCAGATGTGAACCAGGTTCAGCAGGATATCAATGCTTTCCGGTATGGCTGTCTCTGCTGAGGCCTCCCGAAATGGGTAGTAGTGGGAGAGGCATCTATAGGGCCTGCAGCCACATATTAACTGCCCCTTGCAGGCTGCCAGCTGGAAAGCCCTGCTTTATAGCATTCAGAAAGCAAGCTAACTTTTGTTTGGCTCTAAGTGGAATGCAAGGGAGATGGGGAAGGAGGTTGCATTTGTACTGGTCCACATCCCCTTATTTGTGAGGCTGGATGTGAAAGAGAAGAACATTCTTTCTTGGCACCTGAACTACACTCACAAGCACACAGGGTCTCTCTTACAATAAAGGGACATGCAAGTTCTTTTCAGTTTTTGACACACACCTATAAAATAGAGAGGACTCTGTGCAGGCCTCTGGAAGGCAGCAAGAGGGAAACGGAAAGGCTGTGGCTGGGTTGACACTGGCTGAGTGTTTCCAGCCTCAGTGATCCCTTTAGAAAAAAGTGAAAGGCTCCTGCTTTCCCCTGCTGCATGCCAAACACAGAGGCTGCCCGTATCACTTGTGGCTGGCCACTACGGCTGTGCAAAACGGCTACATCTCATTTTGATTTTGGATTCAGCCGTTTCAGAGGACAGTGATTTGTTTCAGTGTTTCACATCACTGCTCCGCTTCGATTCAGCCAAATCTGTTTCAAAGTTCTGATGCTGTTTTGGAGACTCAGACTTGCTGGGAAAGAGGCAGGCAAGCCAAGCAGCTGCAGGTTCTCCCATGGCTCCTCCGGCTGTGCCTGCCTCTCCCCAGCCTGCACTTACCGGCTCTGGCAGCAGCGATCAGGGCCTCTGAGGGCTTGTGGAAGAGCCCCCCAGTGAAACACGGAGCAGCAGGGGGCAGCGGAGATTGCACCCACCCCCCGGCTGGCACCTGTGCAGCAGCTGTCACATTGCGCAGGTGCAGCATGGCTCAGCAGGGCGCAGAGTGCTGTCTGGGAGCTGAAACAGCTCCATGTGTCAGCCAGAGCCCAGCACAGCTCAGCCCTACCAAGCCCGCTGCACCCACGCAATGCAACAGCTGCTGTGCGAGTGCCAGGCAATGGAGGGGGGCCAATCCCCACTGCCCCCTACTGCCCTGCGCAGCTCTACCACAAGCCCTCAGAGGCCCTGATCGCCGTTGCAAAAGCTGGTGAGCGCAAAGCTTTTTGTTCGTTTGTTTGTTTTTAAGTGCCGGGAGGCTGGGCCAGGCGAGGGATGGAGCTGGGCAGGGCAGCCATGGGGGCTTCTCCCACAGCTCCTCCAGCTATGCTCAACGCAGGCTGCGCCAAGCAGACTTGGGTGCTGGCGTTGGCCCCAGCCAGCAGCGGCAGCATGCTATGATCCTGCATGTAGATCCGGAGGCCTGCAGAGCTCTGCCAGACTCCTCCCAGGTTGCATAGGCCCCTGGATCTGTGCTCAGGATAACAGCACTGCTGTCCCTCCCCCAGAGCACTGAGATTGGAAGGGACCTCAGGGACAGATTGCAGACACTGGCCTGCTATAGATGTCAACAGCAGAGTAGTCCTTCTGCCCCTCTTCCCCCTCCCTCCTCTTAGTTTCTGTTTCCCTGCAAGCCCAGCTCCAAAACATCCGAAACATTTCTGAAACAAAATGGCGACCGAAATTTCGCACAGCCCTACTGGCCACCCATGACAGACCATGCCATCACAAGCTATATATTGAAAAAGGCCAGGCAACATTAGATGTAAAGTGGTTGAATATTAATCTAAAGCACACTTGCCTGAAGAAAGTACACATAAATAAATAAATTGAACAGTCTAGATCTGAATAATGGCTACATATGTTAGAGGTAAAACACACATATGCATATGATTATATTATCTAATAGTACAACATGAAAAAGCACAATATTTTAGCTTTGCTTTCTTGTTGTACAACCAGACTTTTGATCCCCAAGTGCAGTCAAAAGTACTAAAATGTAAAGTAAGTTCTGTAAGAGATCTATCCTTACAGGTCATAGGGTATGCATATAACCACAATACCTATAAGTCTATTGCCACCTAGAGTATAAGTACCATAGTGAAAAATCTGTTGCGATTTACTGCTACAAAATTTGTCCCAGAATTAGACAGAATTACTTCTTAAAATACCAAATACCAAGTGTCTGACTGAATCATGAAAAAAAAATGTTCTAGAGAGTCACTCTACATATTGACAAATTTATATTGTGAAATGTAGTGTTAGAGTGATATAGCCAAGATGGTACAGAAAATGTGAGAGAGAAGGATTTATTAAGGTAATTAATAACTCTTCCGTAACCTGCATAGTTGGGATAGAGTTAGATAAGCCTTCAAGCCTCAAGCTTGCCATGCGGTCAAAAGCTTGTCCAGCTATGTCCAACTATCCCAACTATGCAGTTGGCCCAATAAAAATATTACCCTAAGAAATCCTTGTCTCTTGCACATTATAAAAGGATCCTTTATTTGTTAAATACTTTATCTGTTCCAGACAAACAATAACTGTCCTGACTAGTACTCCCCATACCTTTCAGCCACAGGTCCTCTCCAATACATTCTGCAAAAGCACTAGCCCCTCGATCACCAACAAGTGTGTTGCAATTGAGAGTGATGCGCCTCAAGCCTGCCATGCAGTCAAGGTCAGGCCTCCTATAGCGCAAGCTTTCAGCCCATGCTTCACCATGTCTTTTCAGTGCCTGGTGCTTTGCAAAGAAAAAAAAGTTAACATTAGTTTCATATCGAACTATGAATATTAGCGCAAAGAATGGCTAGAAAGTACTTGAAATAAAGTAGTCATTCAATTACCAAATCTATGACCTGATTTAATACAAAATACATTTTTTTCCATTAATGAATTTAAGACAGAGGTTTTCAAACTTTTCAGACTAAAGGCACCCCTGGGTAGACTCAAGGAGACCTCAGTCAGATCTGAGGCACTCCTCAGAAAATGCCATCTCTCAGGTTTTCCTTTTTTTTTTTTTTATTATAGAAAAATAGAGAAGCTTTTTTTGTTGCAAAGAACTCATAAAGACCGCAGCTATGGATTTCTATTTGAAATCTCTGGCTTTATCTTGTAAATCATGCTTGTAAACCTAAATGTGCTAATAAAACATTGTGTGACACTCCATGGCACCCTTTAAAGCATCTCAAGGCACCCCAAGGTGCCATGGCACCCTGTTTTTAAATCACCAATTTAAGAAATGTATACAGTCACCTTTTTATGCATTATGCTTCAGTCTTATTCCTGATTATATTCTGAATCATGAAATAAATTAATCAAATTATAGAATTCATTAAGAATCTCTACCTGCCAACTTTCCATTAGTAAGATGCACACTGATCCTCTTTTGACCCTTCTACACTCACTAACAGACACTGACTACAAAGTTGTCATGTCTTAATGTTTTTGTACACAAACCAGTAACTATTATTTTAGTATTACAAATGTAAGCTGTTTCAGTTATTATGAGCTTGTTATCAGTAAAAAGTTTAGTCTTGAACTGCACATTGAAAGGACCCACTAATGATGGCCAGTATTACATTTAAAAAAAATAAAATATATCATACTTCAGAAAGTATTTTATGTAGCATCCATGAGAAATGTTCTCTCAAATACAGACATAACAGCAATGATAACAGCATAATTCTCTCTCTCGGAAGACATAACTGACACCATGAAACATTTATCATAACAAGCTTGATTAAGGAAGGCTCTATTTAGAACTGAGACGAGGAAAGCACTTAAGCATGAACAACTTTGATCCTGATTGGGAGGGCTGTAGTACACTGCCACCATTGTGTCCCCTGTGCCACATTCTCCATGTATTTTAACCCAGAGGGTCTCCAGTCATGCTTCCTGGGTACCAATGTCAGCTTGCAGGGACACGTAGCTTTCCTTGACAGAGTGCTACACCCTGCCCCTTTTTTCCACACGATCTCTCCTGTATAGGGTATAGCTATCTACACCTGTGGCCCAGTCATAGGTGGAGTCCCACCAGGTCTCCATTATCCCTATGAGATCGTAGTCATTTTTGTTTAGCAGGAGGACCAGTTCCTTCTCTTTTTCTGCAACCTCCTAGCATTGCTGTACAGGCAAGTAAGTGACCCATTGGAAGCCCTAATCTTCCCTTCACTCCCAGGAGGACATGGTTCCAGGGCTGGGGTAGAGGTGGATTCTCTTGAGTGCCTTAGCCTGCTGGCTTTGCAGAAGTTGCCCAGTGGGCTTGCTTTGGCGGTAGTCTTGCTATCCCCCGGCAGGGTTAGTTTAAAATCCAGTCAAGGAGGTCAGCCATTCTGGCTGAGAAGAGCTTCCCTCCCAGTGAAGTGAAGTGGAGGCCATCTCTTCCCAGAAAACCACTGCCTCTCTCACTAAAGAATGGACTGCGATTGTGGAAAACCAAAGCCTTCATGATGGCACCAGCGCTGGAGTCTTCGGTTGACTACCTTAATCCTCCTCTCCCTCCTCAGCTCATGACCTGAAACCATGAGCATTGAGCAAAACACCACCTGCACCCCCAACACCTTAAGCCCTATTCCCAAAGCCCTATAGCCACCCATGACACGGCCAGGATTGCTCCGAGCTCTGTCATTCATGCCTACATGGATAAGGACCATAGGGTAGTGGTCAGCAGGCTGGATGAGCTTTGGGATCCTCTCTGTTACATCGCCAATACTGGCTCCCAGGAAGCAGCAGACCTCCCAGGGTAAGGGGTCTCGAAACATTTAATAGGCTTCACAGCAGCTGAGAGTAACCTAGATCTGTTCAATTGAGTGGGCACACAGGACACAATCATCAGAGTACTGAAGATCAGTAAATGAGGTATTGACCATCTTGGATTTAGATTTGACAGGAGTGTAGTGCCACAGTAATTTCTGCAATTCTGTAATTTCTCCTTTCTTGAATACAATAATGATTCTGGCATCTCTCAAGTCACTGGGAATCTGTTCATGTTCCCAGATTTTCAGAATAATGGCATGCAGTTGGTGAATGAGTTTTTTGTTCTTCATCTACTCAATGACTTCACAGAGGTGGAACGGGATCTTGAAGTCATTACTGACTCCAAGATGAACATGAGCCACCAATACCAGACTGCAGCCAGCAGGGCCAGCCATACCTTGTCGTGCATCCAGAGGTACATGTCAAGCCGGTCCAGAGGGGTGATACTCCCCCTCTATGCGACTTTGGTCAGGCCACAGCTGGAGTGCTGCATCCGGTACTGGGCGCCGCACTTTGAAAGGGATGTGGCCAGCCTGGAGAGGGTTCAGAGGAGGGCCACCCACTTGGTGAGAGGGCAGCAGGACAGGCCCTGTGGGGAGAAACTGAGGGACCTGAACCTGTTCAGCCTCAGCAAGAGGAAGCTGAGGGGGGACCTGGTGGCTGCCTACAAACTCATCGGGGAGATCAACAGCAAATAGGTAGAGCCCTTTTCTCCCCAGCACCACATGATGTGACAAGGAACAATGGTAATACGGCTGATGAAGAACGGGTTTAGGTTAGAGATCAGAAGGCAATTTTTTTACAGTTAGGATGGCCAAAATCTGGAACCAACTTCCCAGGGGAGTGGTCCTCACCCCTACCTTGGGCAAATTCAAAAGGAGGCTGAATGATCACCTGCCTGGAGTTTTGTGAACCCAGCATTCATTCCTGCCTGTGGCAGGGGGTCAGGCTAGATGATCTGTTCAGGTCCCTCCTGACCCTGCCTACTATGAAACTATGAAACTTCAGGCATATGAACAGTCACCCTGATTTCAAGACAACTCATGCATTTAACTTTGCTATTCACATTTGTTTTTTACATTTTTAAATGCTTTACTGGATTACAGCTTGAAAGCAGAGGAAAAGGAATGAAATGTTAGATTATAAACTCTGATTTAGCTGTATTAAGACATAAAACAATACAATAAAAATGTGTCTTCAATCTCCCTGCTGATAGCACCAAACAGACAGCTTCCACAAATAATCCAAGTGTTAAAACAATGTTAAACAAAAAATTCAAGCCAGAAAACATTTGTTAATTGTGTGCTTAGTTTAAAAACAAAGATTTTGGGCTTTGATCCACAGCACTGGCAATGATACAAAGTTATGTTTAATTTTGTACTTGCTATTCCTTTCCAACCCTGGTGTTTCATTTCCATATTCAGTATTATTTTTAATTAATGTAAGTTAGTATAAAGTGAACACTTACATGTTCTGTTTAGAAACTCAGACCAAAGATCATATCAGGATGGACTGAATTAAATCAAAATGATTTTAAATCATGATTTATATTAGCATGTGTGAAACCTTCATATAAATTATCATTTTTAACCTATTTTGTATTTTTTACTTTTTATTTATTGGCCTAAAGAAAAGTTAATTTTTTGTTCATTGGTTGGTAATCATCAAAACATGTTCATTTACACTTTTGTTTGATAAATCAGAAGAATACAGTAAATCTTTAGAGATAGCAATAAGTCAATCCTTTTGTAGATGTAGTCTTAAATTCCTAAACAAATCTGGATTTCTACAACTAGGGTTACATGAAAAATACCATTACCATATTTCACAGTGTGTAAGTCAAGTTTTGAAGACTGCTTTTTAACTCTTAAAATTAAACTTTGACTTATACACCAGATCACCATCCCCTGAAAGCAGCACCAGGCTTGAGCCCAGACCGGTCCCCTGCAAGCGGCGCCAGGTACCCAGGAAGATGCCACAGTACTGCTCGCAGGGGATGGGGATGGACACAGCTGGCACGGCCCTATCCCCCAAGAGCAGCATTGCCTAGGCCATGCCAGCCAAATGCCGAGCCTAGCACTGCTGCTCACAAGGGACAGGGCCACACCAGCTACGCACCGAGCCTGGCCCCGTCTGCTGCAAGCAGTGCTGCAGAGCCCAGCCCTGCCCGCTGCAAGCAGCACCGGGCTTGATGCTTGGCTGGCATGGCCAGGCTTGGCACTCAGCAGTGCTGCTTGCAGCAGACAGGGCTGGGCTCAGCACTCAGCCGGCGTGGCCCAGGCAGTGCCGCACATGGGATGGGGGCACGCCAGCCGAGCACCCAACCTAGCACCGCTTGCAGGGGATGGGGGCAGGGATGGGGCCAGGCTCAGCTGGTGCGGCCCCAACCTCTGAAAGCAGCACTGCCTGGGCCACACCAGCCAAGCGCCAAGCCCAGCCCCATCTGCTGCCGAGCACTGAGCCCTGTGCCACTTGCAGGGAACAGGGTTGGGCTCAGCACTTCGCAGCGCCACTCACAGCAGACAGGGCAAGGCTCAGCGCTCCGCTGGTGCAGCCCTGGCAGCGCAAGGGATGGGGCCACACCAGCTGAGCGCCAAGCCTGGTTCCATCCTCTCTAAATGGCATTGTGGCATGTGTCCACCCTCAGGTGCCCAGCCCACAGCAAGGGCACTCAGGGGCCAGTATAAGTCAACTTCATACATCTGATCCAAAAAGTTAAGTCGACTTATACACCAGATCTATAGAATTCCTAACTTTTTGGATCAAAAAATGGGGTCCAGTTATATACCATGTCGACCTATACACCATGAAATACGGTACTTTACTCAGCATTAAATATTCATTAGAAAACACTATTTCACATCATAAAACTATCAAAATTCTATCAAAATAGCCATTCTTCCACCTGCTATTAGAGACAGTAATCTGATTGAAAAGACATCAACTTAAGAATGAGTAATGGTAATCTATATTATTGCTCTACTTCTATAAAAATACTGTTAAAATATATATACAGTATACATATATAGTATAATTTTAGTTATATACCCAACATACTCATGAATCACTTTCACATTAACCTGCCCTCTAGAGAGGCAAGTGAAATGAGTTAAATTACCTTTAAAACATTGGCCAGGTGTTCTGCTCCCCGCCAAGTCAAATTACATGCTGTAAAATTTATAGATCTGATGGTGGTAGAATTCTTCACACTCTGACAGATTGCTCAAATTAAAGAGATAAAAGAATTAAAGCCAAATCATTAAAAGAAATAACTTGCCTATTTCAATGTTGTATTATGTTCTTTCCTAATGCTAATTATGCCTCAAATTCTTAGATAAACACTATGCAGAGCATATTTTTAAATTTGTTAATAAAATTAGTTATATTTCTCCAATATACATTGCTTGCATGCAGACATTATTATGAAAAGGTATCTCAGTAATGCTTAAGTTGCATAACCATTTTACTTATTACAAGTAAAGAAATAGCTGAGATCGCAATTGCTTTTAAGTTTCTAAGTTTAATTACTTGCTTAGTACTAGTAAACTATCATGTAACTTCAGGGTTCAGAATACTTAAAAAAAAATAAATCTACAAATATTGAGAGAAAGGAAGAAAAGATCATAGCAACACATCTTAGCTGGTATGTAGTTTCACAAAATACAAAATAAATATAACTGCTTTGTTTAGTATAGATTAAAACAGGAGTGGAAATATTGATTCAAACTTTTTTTTTTAATAAGTTCACACACAAAAGCACAGATCACCTTACAGTAGTGATCCTCAACCTCCAAGCACCTGGAGCATGCCAAGCTCTTGATTTTCGCTATTTTTGACTACAGAAAAATAATTAAGCAATACTTCTGCTGTAAAAAACTCAGAAAGACCACAACTGGTCAGAATGCATTTAAGAGCATGAATTCTTGTTTGAAATCTCTGGGTTTATCTTGTGAATCATGCCACATCACCCTGGTTGAGAATCACTACCTTTAAGTATTTATTTTTAAATGTCAAAGCTTACTTTCCAGTCCTCCATCTCCAATTGGACAATGAGCTAAAGACAGACTCTCCAGAGATGTTGTCTTTGCTAACCCCTTTGGAAAAAAAATATTTAATTAACAGTATTATGCTAGCGTCTGTCTAAAGAATGGGCTGAGATACTTGTTCCCACTATGGATGCTTTGTCTATAAAAGAGGAAGAAATGGGCTCTAGAAACTCTGCTTACAGCTGCTTCCCCTAAAGACCGTCTCATTGAAAAGGCACAACAGAAATATTAGGGTATGCCAGATTCCCTGGGGAGGCTGCCATTACAGGCAACCCGCACTTAATGCTGTTTCACTTAGCGCTATTTCACTATAATGCTCATTTTACATCCATACCCAATTCCACTTAGTGCTCAGTGAGTTTCACTGTAACGCTCATGGTTGCCATCCCAGTTCGTCAAAAACTTCTGGTTTCGCTTAACACTATTTCTGCTTAACGCTCAGTTTTTCGGGAACAAATTAAGAGCGCTAAGCGGGGGTTGCCTGTACTTTGGCATCTCTCCAACACCCTAGAATCAGTCAAGAACAGAAGTATAAAAAGCCATCATAAAATCACCATAGCCCTATCTCTCTGTGGCCTGTGTGCTTAGTACTGTATCTTTAAAATGTGAGTAGAAAAATCACACCCAAGATCTTTACTGTTAATGGATTCGTTTATGGGTGCAATTAAAACAGTCTCACCTCTGTTAAAAGTATTAGATCTCTCTCTCGCAGAAGCAGACCCTGAAGTTCCAAATTTTTTAGAACGCTTGATATACTCAGACACCCTCTGATGGCTTTACATAATTGACCCGTCAAATCTTTTGATCGGATTGCTGGAATACGCCTTCTATAGCAGGTTTTGTGTCTTTCAGCACCTGGTAAACAACAGAAATGAATTTGGGGGTGAAATGACATCAGGCCACACTGAAGTCCCTGGGGCCAGAATGTCACCTTAGACTTTTCGTTTTACAAGACTCATTAAAAAAAAAAACCCCACAATGTGTCTACCCCTCATACACACGTGCAGAATCGTTCTGTATTCAATTCTCATGTAAAGAGGTGTACAGAGCATCTCAAGCAGTCACTACCAACCTGATTCTCCAAGACCCTGCTGATGAAAACTCCTGATTCCAACAGAAGTCAAAGTCTTATTATGCCTGACTGCATCCAGAAGCGGGGCCCAGTCAGCTGCCTTGATGCGATCTGCATTTAAATCAAGAGTGACCCGACTCAGGTAAGGCTTCACTGATTTTAGCGGGACAGAGCCTTGGAGGGCACAGAGATGTTCGTAGTGGGAGTAAAAATCCATGGTGCTCTGCCTCCTTAGTCGATCGTTTCTTTCACGCGCAGAGTTTCTCTCTGAGCAGAGGCTGGGGGGGAAAAAAAGCAAAACTACAACTGATCCAACTGAACACACTACATACTGGTAGAAGCTCTCATTACTAGCACCCGCACCATGACAACGGAGTAAAGCTCACGTCCAAACAAGTCACTGCATTCAGCACATTATGCGACAGCACTGCCACCTGGAAACGAATGGGAGGGACCCCGCATCGACAGTCTCTCACAAACCCCCGCTAGCTAACTGCCATAAAGATCATCTCCTAGGGCACGGGTCCGCCACCCCCAGCACGCGGAGGACAAAGGGAGGCCGGGCTGGTGCCGCCTCTCAGGCCACTCAGTGCCGCGGGTCCGCGGTGCTGCAGAGCAGCCGGCGGGGATGCGGCCTCAGGCGGCGCGAGTGGGAACGCGGACCCGCCCCCACCACCGCTTCCGAGCCGCGTGCGCTTGCGCGCGAGCACTCACCTGCTGCCGGCCACTGCGCGCGCGGCAACACCCTCGCTCCCGCCTCCCGCCGCCTGCCCGGCCCCAAGCAACTCAGCCCGCCAAGGCGCGCTGCACCGCCTCTTCCGGGGGCGGGGCCAGGCAGGGGACAGCCTTTCCCCGCCAGCTGCTGGGATCGGGGGGGGTGTCGCGAGGGTTGGGTAGTGTTATTATTATTGCCAATTATATAGAACTATCTATAATATATATTTGTGTGTGCGTATATGTATACATATATAAACAAATGTCAATCCGTTAGTAAAACCCAATACGGAAGCCAAAATCAAACAAAAATCAAACAAAATATTCTATCCCACATGCAATAAGTGCAAAAACACTATTTACATATCCTTTAATACAAAATTTACCCAGCGACCACCTTTTAAATATATAGATATAGCTATCTAAATGGGATAAGGGGGGTGTATACATACATTAGAATATGTATACACACACATGTTCTAATTTTATAAAAGCTTTAATGTCTGTTTGTTGATAAAGCATTATTTGCACTCTAATTGACTCAGCCTGCCTTCATCCCAATTCATGAGGAGCAATTTGCTATTGTGTGTGTGTCTATATATCTATATCTATATATATATATAGTGTCTGATACCTGAGCAGACAATAATTGTTCTGTAAATATTCTAGGAGCTTTAACCTATTTCATCTTTCCAGGCTACACTTGGCTTTAGAGTTTGATCTTCCTGTCTCTGGGAAAGACCAAAAGCAAGCCTGTAAAATAACAGTCACAAAACCAAGACGTAGTGCTATGCGTTTGCAGCATTTCACATGAAAGTTTTGGTGCATATGTTCAACAGGACATGGGAGTTAGACCTAGCCTGTAGGAAGACATGCCAGTATGGTAAAGATCATCTCTGTGTGTGTATATATATATATATTAAGAACATTTTGTGTGTGTGTGTGTGTGTGTGTGTGTGTGTGTGTGTGTGTGTGTGTGTGTGTCTTTCTATACGTAGAGAGAGACAGACACGCAGACCCTTTATATACAGAGACTGGAAACAGTTATTTGTGTAATGTATCTGTGGAGTAGAGGATGTGTGTGTGTGTGTATGTGTATATACATATATACACATACACACACACACAGACCTTTATTCTCTATCTGTCTGTATATGTATGTATATGATGTATATGTGTGCATATATATGTGTGTGTGTGTATGTGTGTATACACACACATACACACACAGACCCTTTATACTACAGACACATTACACAAATAACTGTTTCCAGTCCTTCTTTCTCCAGACAATTTCCATTTTCTTTTCTCCCATCTTCTCACTATCACATTTTAAATAATATGGCAGTTCATAAAGAGCTAATTGCAAACATTCTCATGGGGAAAACATCTAATCCCTTAAACACTAACAGGCATCTCACTTCCCAAATAGCAAACTTAAAACAAGCCCACCCATATCTTCAGGCTTTGCTCCTCTGGATCTTCTGGCATCAGACCATACATCCCTGTTTCATAAGTAATTTTGGAGCATACTTTTGTTGCTACAAAGAACTTCTGCACTAGGGCTGTGGGAAATTTCGCCAAGTGTTTCGTTTTGAACCTTTTTGATGCATTTCAAGCTTGAAACAGCAACATTGAAACAAAACAAAAAGCATCAAAACAGTTTCAAAATGAAGTGATGGCACTCAAAACATTAAGAAAGTTTCTAAACATTTCAAGTTTCTAAGCAGCCCTGTGGTGGGAGGCAGGGGAGCACCCACAACCCCATGTAACTCAGCCCTGTGGGGAGCACAGCCCTGGTGCTCCCCACCTCCCACCATTGGACTGTGCTCTGTGGGGCTGGCAGAGCCAATCAGAGCGCAGTGCTGGCTCTGCCCACCTCCCACCGCCGGGCTGTACTCCGATAGGCTCTGCCACCCCCATGAAGCTCAGCCCAGCGGCAGGAGGCAGAGCGCAGCCCCAAATCTGCCCGTCTCCTGCCGCCAGGCTGCTCTACAATCAGCTCCACCAGCCCCCATGGAGCACAGCCTAGTGGCAGGAAGTGGGCTGTTGCTTCTGTGAATACCCTCCTGACATAATTTGTGTATATAAAGGCCTCCAGATCTGCAAGCTCCCACCCATGTCTCTGGCTTTCTACAGCTCTTTCCAAGCTACTCTTGCCATTTGGCTTTTCCAAAACAAAGCACATACTTGTCTTTGAACTTTCCAGATTTGCGTTTGTACCCATCTGGCTTTGTGTAGTTGTTCCCAAGTGGCTCAGGTTTGGTTGCTCTTATCTCATTTCTAGTTTCCCTCAGGCACCCTTGCTGATCGTACATCACCTCCCCAGGGAAGCCCCTGATACTTGCCCGCCACGTCTAGATGTTCTGCCCAAGAGTAGGAGGTTTCCTCAAAGATAGGACTTACTAGGAGGTGTCGTCAGCAGATGTTCCTGGAGCTCCACCTCCCCTACACCACTTTCATGCACCAACCAGCTGAATTCAGCTGGGTGTTAGTCAGCCTGAACACTCAGGTGCTGGGCCTACTGGTGTGACCCCAGTCTGGGCCTTGAGTGTGAAGGCCTGAGTGCAGCAACTGTTTTGCAAGCCACTTATCCAACAATGGTCCTTTGTTTCTGGACCCATTAACAAGGGCCTGGGTTAAGCCCATCAGTCTTGTCCCTGCCTCAGAGTCATGTGCCTACTAATCGGCTTTCAGAGTCCATGCCTGGAGTCCCTGTGGGCCCATGGTTCCTTGGCCCCCAGGAATGAAGTGTGTGGCCGTTCTCCAGCCTTAGGGGCAACAAAAATGTAGAAGAAAGGAATAAATAAAAATGTCAAGGAGTTACGGTGTCACCTCCCTACTCACGCATCCTGCATTTGCTGCCGTGGTCCATCCCTCAGTGTCCTTCCCAGTCCTAGTGCTGAGTGCCACTCTGTTGTGGGGCTGACCCATTTTCAGGACTCTGTCCTGGGTCCCACCATGAAGATGACTCCAGTCATGCTGAAGGGAGCACATAGTCACTTCTCAGCTGTTGCTCCCCAGCATGCTACTTCCTGCCGGCTTTTATCAGAGCCAGCCAGCATTATTAGATGAGATCACAGTCTCGCGCCTACCCCAGCCACACAGAAAAGTGGTTGATGAACCCCGCAGGCAGTTTGTTCAGCTGCAGCCAGTTCCCCGTCTCTGCACCTGCTGTGGGGAGGTATTTCCCCATTATGGGGCTTCTGTGGGTGTTCCCCCAGGGCCATGGGGTTTCCCCACCATGGTTCTGGCCCCAGAGAAGGGGTGTCCATCCCTTTTCTTTCATTGCCCTGGGACAGAGTCCATGAAGGTGGATATACCACTCCTGTAAACAAAATTCTTAGTAATAGTACTTTTATAATTACTGTTACCCTCCCTTGAAAGGATAGTCTTCTTGTGCTCCATAATCCCAAAATTCTACCCACTCTTGCACTGGCTTCTTCCCACGCCACCTTCTCTTTTCCCTCAGGATTCATAGGCATGTTTACGATTCTCATTTCATTCCTGAGCACTTGTAGGCTGTATTTGTCTAGGACCGATCAGTTTCATACCCCCAGCAGCGTACTTTTTGCTTTATTCAATCTTGCACCTGACACTACTCCATAGTCTTCTGTATGGCTGGTAAGTCAGTTGTGGGGGAAGGGGCGGGGAGAGGGAAGGGACACGGGGATATAGATTGAGGACCCTGCGGTGAGGGAGGGAGTGGGGCTGGGGCAGGGGCAGTTGTTGTACAGCCGGGGTGGGCCATGGGATGGAACCACAGCTTGTCTGGGAGATGCAGGGAGGGGAGGCAGCTCCTGCCACTATGCACACCCCAGGAAGGCATGAAGAGTGTGTGCCCCCCCATCCACAGAGACATCCTATGCCATCCATGAAGGTCACAAGTTCAATCCCCAATTGGACAAGAAGTTCACTTGAGGTCCCTTCCAGCCTTTCTGCTCTATAACATGGAGATATAGAGCTGGTCAGCTATGAAGTTTAGTGCTTGAAAATAGGTGACAACTCTAGGGCAGGTTTCTTTCCAGCTTTCATGGGCACCTGCTGCAGAGCCCTCAGATTGTGTGTGCATACACACACACCCACAAACACAAGTATAAATGACCCAAGAATTAACACCAGAATTGTTAAAAAGAAGCCTGGGTGTTTTCCGAGGGGTTCCCCTCCAACCCCTACATCTCCTGGCCATGAGCTGCCTTGTCCACAAGGAAGATTCCACCGCGCCAGGCGCAACACATCCACCACCAGGGCTGCAAGCTGAAGCAACACCCTCCCCACCCCCCATGGCTCAGTGTTGGGCTTACCTGCCCCCCCAGAGTCACAGCATGTGGGTCGATTCCCTTGGCTCCTCAACAGTTTCTCCACACACTATGTGATGCTGGAGGGCCATGCTCCTATAGCCTGCGACTCCACCAGCAAATTCCTGATGCCCCCCTTCCCATGCACATCCTCCAGATTCAAACATGGCTGCATGACCCCTTCCCCCACAAATGTCAGCAACACACCCAGCTGTTGGGCTGCATGCATTACTCTGAAGGAAGTATTGGGGCCTTCATGGAAGCCAACAGCTGCAAAGGCCAAG